TTTTTTTTTTTTTTTTTTTTTTTTTTTTTTTTTTTTTTTTAAGTGCTCTTTAAAAGGCTACAAAACATCAAAACAAGTCAGTTCTGTATTTTTTCTTCTTATTGGTACTCACAGGCCTAAGTATTTCATTCTATGACAACCTTTTGACTTTAATCTAAAGGATTTGCCAAGTGACAAATAAGAAAAATGCATTATTCTTTCACTTAAGGAAGAAACAAATGCGAGAAGTCTAATGTTTACTGGTGCACTTACCACCTTCTTGAAAACTTTATATGTGTCAGCAGCAGGCAGACAAAATACTGCACTTTGATATAGATAGGTAGGAGATTTCTGCCACTGAAAGATGGCACAGCAGTGCCAAGCATGATCTCATCTCTTCTGTCACACACCAATTGTCATTGCTGATATAGTTGTATATCTCCTCAGTGACTCAAATGAAGGTGATAGTTTCATGAATACACTAAAAATAGAACTGTTCTCCTGTAAGTCAGAATGAAATGGAAAAGGATAGAGCTCTTTCTCAGCTATCATCTAAACAATGTGATTTCAAGCCACAAAAACTAATATAACCTCCTTTAAAGTCCTTTCTATTTTGTTTCAGGCTGCATCACTCTGAACTGATCATTAAGGCATGCCTATTGATTTATGACCTGAAAACTTCCCACTGTATTTAAGTAAAATGTAGTGACATTTCACTTACATATGCTTAGATTGTATTTAATTAGTATGAAATTTGGAATATTCATGGTAAATGTCTTATCTGTTTCTCTCTCCTCCAATGTAGTAGGGAAGTAAAGTCACTGTACTTTGGTTGGTCTCTCCTTACTTTGTTAATTCCAGATAATTTCTATCCAGGTGGCAAAATTATCTGTCTATTTGTTGCATGTTGCTATTTTCTAAGATGAGTCACAGCAAATTAAGTACACTTGACTCACTGCAAAGCAATTGAAATGCAAAGAACTGTATTTTGACCTGGTCATAGTTGAAAACAATTTGTAAACGGTACTTTGTCTTTTGAATGACCTTTCTGCATTAACAAAAATGCAATTGAAGCATTAGACATATATTTTCACAAATCTTCTATCTGAAGTTAATTTTAAGACTCCATCTCAGAGCAGTATTGCAACTGCTTTTGAAAAGTAGACCAGTGTTACTTTTAGATGGAATTACACAAAACTTCTGGGCCCCTCTCAAATTCTGTGCTTTTTACAGTTTCTCTCCTGTGTGGCTACTGTGAGAAATACAGCAGAGTGCCAAAGTGAAAAAATATTAAACTTTCTCATTTAGAAAATTCATCTAGTGTGAAGAATGGAAGAAATGGGCATAAATGTGGATAAATATTTTGTTTCCCAAACCATCTATTGTAAATCTTGTAACAAATAATTTCAAAAGGTTATAAATAAGAAAACAGCTATTTCAGAAATGAGCAACATGTTTATACCTAGCAGCAACTCCAAGTAATCTAGCATAGAGCTATTAAATTCACCAGCTGCCATCCACCTCAGGCAAGATCATACTTCATTTCATCTATGTAGTATAGATTGTATGTTAATATCTGCTTGAATCAAAACATGATCATTGGCAAAAGTAATCCCAACTCCTGAATTTTCCATTCAAGCTGAAATTTAAATGAAAATGTCACAACTAATAGAATGTAAATATTTGGAACAGGTAAAAACTAAACAGAAGATGAAAATGATTCAGTTTGCAGTACGAATCACAATCGTTGAACGTTAAAAATACACAAAAATATATGTATCTCTTATTCAGCAACACGCCAATGAAACAAAATGTTTTGTTCTTTATAGCACAGTAAAGACAAAGCATATCTGCTCTGAAATGGAGGTAGCAATGAAAAGCAGATGCATTCAGATAATATGCAGGTATCAGGAAATAATATGAACTTATAAATTGCTCTCCTTCAGTTTAACATACACAGAAGTATAAAAATATACTTCTGGTAAAATGTCACCTTCCTAAATAATTGTGAGTGTAATAATATTAAGTAGAGTTTACTTTAGCTTCCTTTTGTAGGAGAGATGGATTTTGCTCTGCATTCAAGTCAAGTCTCTAAAAATAGCAAAACATAAAAGCTACAAGATTTGACTCGCCATTCCTGTCAGATGACAATTTTTTAAGAGATCATTTGAACATTCTGGTGATGAAATGATGGTGGAGAGAAAAGTTACTTTGTTTTGTTCTACGTGGCTTTAAATTTTCAACAACATAGATAGCTGCCTGCTTTGCCTACTTTTGAATGAAACAGACAGGAACAGTAGGATGAAAAGGAAAAAAAAAGTAAAAGCGTGCCCTATTATATGGAGAGCAGAGTCTTTTCTACAAGTGGAGAATTAGATATAAGTGACCAAAGAAAGCAATTCCACTTATACACTGCAACCACTACACTTTCAGAACAGGAAGGAAAACTGTTCTTATAGGTTTACTCCACTTTTACTGTTACAACTCCTGGGAATTAATTTGTTGGGAACTAGCATAATCTCAAAGTAATACAGCAGGGACTCAGGTTTAAAGCTTGCTATCGACTTTCTAAATGGAGAACTGTGAATTACTCTCCTACATGGGGAATTCTCCAAGATAACCAATAAAGTGACTGCAGAGGTACATGCTTGGCTCTATTCACGATAGTTCAAGCAAGCTAATGAGCATGGGATCACCTTAGTTATGGACACAGATGCCTAATCTTCATCTTATCTTTAAATTATTCCAACATTTCTTCCTCCAACTTCATAACAGTGAAGACCTGAGACAAGGTCAAAATCAAACGCATTTCTAAAAAAAAATGCTGAGTACATAGACACTAAAGCTCTTAGCAATTTCTGTAAACACCAGTACAGACTTCTCACACTAATAAAACAAAAACAAAAAACACCAAACAGAGTAACTATATTATTATTCTAGAAGATACATATAAATGCAAACTGCAAAAATCAGAGGAGCAGTGCAATCAATTAAATAATTTAAAAAGTCCATACAGGTACAGAGTAAAGATCCGTGAATGAACATTAAATAAGTTCAGGATATTTGTGAACACCAAAAGTGAATTTCAGCTAGTGGCAGCTGCAATTTTTCCATTATGCTCAGATTTCTATAAATTTTTAGAAGTAATTTCAAAAGCATAGGAAGGAATCCAATTTTCACAATAAGAATTCGAAATCCAGAGACTGTCTTCCTCCGGACTTGTTATTCAGAACAGTCACAACCTATACAGTGCATTCCAGAATGCACTCCAAGTTGACCCAAGGGTGAAAATCAGTGATGAACTTTCTTAACAAGCACGGAAATCTACTCCATTCCCTCTTCAATTTCAGAACTATTTTATTTCAACAGTCTTTGAAAGACACAAAAAAGAAAGGACATGCAAAGCCTGTGCTTTTACTGCTATGCAATAGAGGCACAATGAGCTGATCATTTAGGGCCTGATAGAAGCTCACCAAAGTCAATACAATCCATTCTGTTGATTTCAATGGCTTTTATACCAGGCCCTTAAATATACTGTTAAAAATGTCTGAATGATTTTGGCTCAGTATCACCACACCCATTCAGTTTCACTGACTGGTTATTTCTTGGTGATTTGGCAAATGTGTTTATGTCTGACATAGCAGAAAATAGAAAGTTCAGAAATAGCAGTTCGTCAGTCAAAATCACTTGCCTGGTGCTTTAAAGTTAATACTATTCAACACTGGCTGGTAACTTCAGCCAGTTAAATGCTGTTGCAAATGAAAGATGAAGCATTGCATGAAGCCATGCTAAAATGGATAGAAGGATGGTTACTTACCAACGGGGCGAGCTGTTGACATTACAATGGTGTAGTGAGAACATAAAAAAGAAATTAAAAAAGAAAAGAATATCTGTCAGAATGCATGACGTGTAATGTTACGTTAAACTATGGATACTACCATGATTGCTAACCCCTCAAATGACAGCCTAAGTAAAATATTCACTATCATTTCTGTTTAGTCACATGTTACTATTACCACATTTATTTGAGCATAGTATCTGAGCAAGCTGACTGGAACCATTCTCTGAGAAACATTTTTTGTTATCTTCACATGCCATCATCAAGTATCACTGTTAGTGCCTGATAAAAGAGAAATCACTTGCATTAGAAAAAACTTTTAGATCTTGATGAACACATCAATTTAAGCTACAAACTGACAAATATCATGCCACTAGATGCAATGCATTTACTTTCTGAGTCAAATATCAATTGAATTTTAAGCATGGTCAGTCACTACAGCTGTGGGGTCCACAAAAAGCCCAGGACAATTTTTCTCATTCAATAACAGGCATGAAGGCTTACAACACATTGCTTTTTCCTCACTGACAAGACTGATGAAAATATAACAAATAGGCCACAATGGCTATGGGGATTTCAACTCAGAATCTCCCAAATTACAGCTTAGGAAACTTCCACTTCCTAACAAAAAAAAAAAAAATTGCTGCTGAATGATTGACAGGTTAATATTGTTTCAGACTGATATCAAGACTGAAGGCTGCTACTGCAACCAATGATTTCTTGATGATAGCAACAGCTGTTTATTACAGTTGTGTTGGGAGAGAGGACTGCCTGTCCCTCTGCTAATAAAATGCAGACATCCCCTTTCCCAAGAACAAAAAAGCTGGACATAAATTTGACTCAGAGTTGCCATCTGGTTACATGAAACTTCCCTTATTTTAGCAGTAGAAATAGCTACATATTTCTGAGTAATATTATTTACATATTTATTTACCTATTTATTTCAAAAGAAGATAATCAGCTCTATATCCCTATGTGCAGACTAGGGCCAAAAGCAAAAACGTGCTGATCCCTATGTAGTGCAGCATGCAAATATGGTTTTTGTTCTCAGCATTTCTGTATCTCTATCCTTACTTTGTCATATTCACTTTAATTATTTCAAGCCTACTGCCCTTTCTCAAATTTATTTTGAGACATTCTGATTTTTGGTTTTATGATATATTCCTGGTCTCACAGAAAGATAAGGAATGAGTGATGTGCATCTTTCCAAGACAGAGTCTGAACACTGAATCACTGAATTCAAATTCTGTTATCATTTACAATCATGTAACAGTTGTACAACAGTATAACAGTGAACTCCCTGACTGCATCTTCGTTCATTGCTTTGAGAAGATGGAGCTGTGAGAGAGGTAGCTAAGGATTATGCTGTTGCTGCCAGGTTTGCAGTCAAAACTGCAGAAAAAACCACACACAAGGACCAAGGACCTTCAAAGTGAATTTTCAAGTGCTAAATGACTTTCTCCTTCACACGAAGGATGATTTTGTTAAAATCAATTTCAGACGAAATTAGTGAAAGTTTAAGAATTCAGAATTAAATCTTTTAACTAAAAGGAACACAATATGTGGTCCCTTTTAAGTCAACAGGAGTTTTATCCAGTACTTTGCTTCCAGGAAATACAGACTAATAACATTTCTTCACTGAATTTCTAAGCTTTTCTCATTTCCTGTTACCCTGAACATTTAATAAGCTTGTATCATCATGGCTTCCTTTATGTTGGATAAACACTGTGTATTCGAATGTAAACCTAAATCAAACCTAAGGGGAGAGTCGTACCCAAGATAACGAAAGCCTACTTTTACTGTAGGAAAATCAATTAAATTATATGTTTTGTTTGTTTGTTTGTTTCACCTTAATTTGATCAAGTTCACACTTCAGTGATTTCAAAGGATTTTTTGTGCTTGTTTCTAGTTATTGTTCATATTACAAGTCTATAATATACAAATATTAAAAGCCTGCTTCAGTGATGCATACATTAGATACAGATCTAGGCATGTTTAAAGGCTAGTAAATTTGTTGCTAGATATATTGGATATCATGATTCTGCCTGTGACAAAGGAGCAGATTTAGAGCATTTCTTGGAGTTCAGTGTAGTGACTATTTTTCTCACATTACAAATGGAAAAACAATCTCTAAGACAAACATGTAACAGGTAAACCTACTTCTTCAGATGAAAACAGGAAGATCTACATTACCACATATTACCTGGAGCAAACACTGAGGTAATATTTCAGTAAATGCATTATCACAATATTCTCTTTTCTTTGTTATATACTAACATCTCCCCCTCTGCAAAGCCATTTGGTGCTTTTTTGCCCTTTGAATTCAGCAAATTAAACTGAACTGTGTCCATGCATTAAATGGATGGAAATGGAAGCTGGCCTCTTGGGTCAGTTGACCCCTGTTCTAATAAAGCAATCCACTGAGACTTTGAACGTTTGATTTAACGTGTATGAAAAGAGAAGCACAGATAAAGCCAAAAATGTTTTTATTAACCTTTCACAGCTCTACTGAAAACTGTCAGCATGCACCACTAAACTGTGAAATAGTATCTGCATGATATCCATTGTACCAAATCGTAGCTTATCTTTTGGAATGAAGAAATAACTATTATATTCTATTTACTAATACAGAAATATTGTCCCACAAACTTTATTTCTCTCTATAATCTTTGGCATGTCCATATCTACCGTCACAAAATACATTTGGGCAGCTCATTGTTCTGCTGGTGTTAAAACCTTTTTACCATATCAAATAGCATCCCATAAACAATGAGTGGATACTAAGGACTGGGAGATATTTTAAGAGAGAATACATTAGTTTTTTTATCATGTATTACTTACAAAATTTAATTAAGATTTTCTTTTTCCTTTGACTGAGATTTATCTTACAAGTAAAGAATAACAGCAGGGAGTTCAGTTATGGTACAGCTAATAATTCCATTATACTATGTGCATTACGTTTGACATTTGTAAACACAGTGCACTCCTTATATTTATTAGGGAATAGAACCATAATAACAACAATTTAAACTGAATTTTTACTTATGAAAGAGTGTCTGTGTAGTTTGTTACTGCTTGCCTATGAAAACGTATGCATCTATTCTTTAATAAAAAATATTAGAACAGATCATTAACTGCTGTGAGATCTTATCCTACTGAAATCAACTAGAATTTTGCCACAGATATCAATGGGAGCAGGATTTCAGATTTGTAGTAAATCAGTAGAGCACCAACAACTGCACAGGATGTGTGAAAACCAAACACAGCAGGTAAGGATTTGGCTCATTTTGCCAGAAAGCCATTGATTCATTCAGGACACAAGATCTCTCTCCACAGGAACACTCACCTCGCACAGTAAGGGTAGCAGATGCTTCCACTTTTCCAACTCGATTCTCAGCAATGCATGTGTAGGTGCCTTCATCTGTGCTCATAGCCTTCTTGATGCGCAAAGTGTAGTCATCTTTAATGTCATACCTGTGTTGCAAAAAAAAGAATGAAAATATTTTGTAGCCGACAGGAATGTACAGAAACTCTTATCTGGGATATGCTAGGCTGATCCTATCTGGGATTCAACTTTTGAAGATAAATTATTACCTAACATTAGATAATTCCACCAAGCATTAATCTCTGTGACATTTTTATTGCACTCTGCATTAGTTAGAAACTTTACATAAAATTAGTATTTCTGTGCTCACTCAGTATAAGGGTTTTGTTAATATCTTCCACTTCATCTTTGATCTAGAGTAATGTGATAAAATTAAGCTATCAGACATCAATTATCAATAAATGACAGCTCAGGTTTCTCACACCTTTGGCTTTGTGAGATACATATTTTATATTTAGCTGATTTGGAATTTTTCCTTTATAAGTAGTTCTTCACTATAGCAGCAACCCCTTAGGAAAACTATGCATGTTGGTAGGATCTGACACTATAATATTATAAACAATAAAAATATACTTAAGCTCTGGAAGGTGAACATTTATGGAAAAGGCATATTAAAGAAGATTTATCAATTTCACAGAAATGCTACAGAGAGATTCATTAAGAGTGAACAATTACATTCTCTTTCTTAAAATAAATTTGGAAGATTTCAATTATGTCAATTTTTTTTGCTTCTACTGTTGTAATAACTGTAGAATTATGAGAATGTGTAAAATTTGAAAAAATAATGTACAGCAGCAGGCTGTGAGCATTCATTCACAAGGCATTCACAGTGGCTCAATCAAAAAAAATAGAAAAATATTATTTGTTAAATAGTTACCAGCCCACAAAAGTCTAGCTTAAAAACTATTTTAGGCTCTGATCCAACCTCATTAAGTCAACAGGATACTTTATCTTGTATGAAATTTATTTGTCTCCTGAATCAGGAAAACATCAGTTTTCAGCATAGACATTTTGCTCTTGAAATACCCTCTTGAAAATTACTTTCAACAACATTTCTTCTAGACACACACTAATGATATCTTAACTAAGATCGAGATTTAGCTTCATATTTTCATGCATCAAATAGTGAAAAAGGCACATGAGATTAAAGAAAGATCTAGACCTCAAGAGATGTCAGTAAACGTTTACTACATAACTTCAGAAAAACTAATTTACCTTCTCTTTGTCAAACAGTAAAGACCCTGCCTGCAAGCTTGTTCAGCAAACATACTGAAATGATAGAGAAGAGCATGCTTACATGTTTTAATGGGTAAGAATGTAATGCTATCATTTATTGGAATGTTGTGAAAATCTTTATGAGTATTTTTAAATGCTTCAGGAGCATCACGTGTACAAAACATGCATCATCTTTTTCTTCTTTATTATAACTTTGAAGCAAGAGTATTGTATGCTAATAGACACAAAAGTATCTTCACTCAAAGAGCCCTATATGCTGAAATGTTTAAAGTTCTGCTATGCCTAAGGAGAGCCCATGACAACATCAATAAGATTAACTTTGTTTCACGAACAAAGAGAAGTCAAAGCATTTTCTTATACTCATCACAATGCACTACAGTTTCATTCTATACTCAGTAAGTCCATTCTAGTCATTAGCCATTAATTCAAAAAGACCAAACTATAGCTAACTGTTCTGTCAGAAAAAAAACAAAACAAAGCAAAACAAAAAAAAAAAAACCAGATCACATCCCTTTCATTAGGAATTCCACTTAACTGTACATGTTTCCTGTATGTCAGATTTAACTAATGAACAAGAGATATGTCAGTGGGAATACATAGTCAGAAACTTCTAGGGACAATTTTTTTTCTAGCACAGTACTACTGAATGACATAACCAACTTATGACAATAGAAAACTTAACATGTATTTTCTGGATTGGTTCAGAGCTGTTCAGCTACTCACTCCAAAGCCATAAGCAGCTGAGGCACATTTCATCCTGACTGTACACAAATTATGGAGTTCTGCATTCTGTGCTGCTCTTGTCAGTGGCAAATAGAACCACTGTTTTCATAATTGAGAAAAGGCAAATGGTCTCCTCTAAAAATCTCAAGAATATGACATCATATCCCACAACAATGGAGTAGTTATTTATCCTTGGCCACCACAGAGATCGCAGACAAAAGAATTTGCTTATTTTCTTGACACACAGCCATCTGTAGGGGACTGAAAATATGAAGTGGTACTCACCTCCTGCAAGATGACAAAACTAAGATCAGCTGTAATGAAAATATGAGTTGGATATAGGAATCACGTTTATAAAGCTGGGCAACAATTAGACACTAATTTTGTTACAAAGGCTTTAAAAAAAAAAATAAAAAGAAAGAAAGAAAAGATAAATAACATCCCTGTGGTTCACTTAACCACTGCTGAGATAAAACCAGACAGGCAACAGGGCTGTATCTGATTGGCTGGCTGCTTAAACTGGGATGCAGGCAGCCTGGGACAGGGCCCGACAGTCTGCCGTGGGCTGCAGCTGACTCGTTCTTCATTTCACCGATGCGCTGGTGCTGATATGCCAGCCAGCTGCCTTGGAGGCTTCAGCAGTCTTTATGCTTGCACCTGCCAATCATGCAAATTGTGCAAAGGCTGCTGGGGGAAAAAGCCAGCTGCATGGCATGCCAGGACGCAGAGAGGGAGCACAGCCATAATCTCCCACTTGGATTGTGAAATGCAGGAAGCAGTAAATGTGTCACTGTCATGGCCCAGTTATCAATTACTTCAAGGAGCGGACGTGCTCTCCTAGTCTGCTTCTCCAACAAGACCATACTGAGTTTTTGGACCACCATGGCAGAACATGCCGTCTAGCAATTGGAATCATCCACAGATGGGCCCATGGGATAGCATAACCATCTGCTGTCCTGAAGTACTGATATGCTGCCCCTCAGTCATCTGTTCCTCTCACACTGTCCCTAGAAGTCACCACGGTTCAGTGAAGAGCTTTGACAGATGAAGCAGGCAGGAAGGAATAAGAAGAAAACTGGCTTCTAGCTTTAGTTGATCTATGCATAGTAGCTCAAAGAGCTTGTGTGAGAAAGGTGCCATGAAATAACAAAGTGAGAAGGCTGAACGTGGTTGTACCTTCTAAGTTTCTCGAGCAAAATCTAGAATAGTGTTTGATCTCCTCTCAATCCAGAGCTTCCTATGCCCTCAACAAGATGTTTCCATCTGAGTTTCTGGAGAAGTTCACTCCCATCTGGATCAGTTCCAAGCTGACACTTAGGAATTCGGCTCAGGGCCTCTTTGATTGTCAGTGCTGCTCAGACAGAGGTGGCCAGACTTCTGGATTGATGGTGGGGCAGCAGAAAACCAAAGTGTACCAGTTATGCTGGTGTGCTAAGAAGGCAGTGTCTTCAAAATATGTGCAATGTCAAGAAACACCTTCCCACATACTACCCTAATATTGCAGTCTCTTAGCCAAGTAATGCCAACATTCTGCACAAAATGTAGGGTGTCAGACATCTGCTACATATGTTTATGGACATCTAATTGATTTTAAATACTTCCCTTTGTTAAACATTTGGAGGTGCTTAACCTTTCAGTTTAGCTGAAACTTCAGCCATCAAATTGCTCTGAAAGAGGTCTTTGGAACAGCTAGTCCCAGTGTTAAAAAACCCAGCCACTTTTGGGTGTTGTGTTACATAACTTCTGCTATGAACAAGTAATAGCTCACATAGATCTGTCTTTAATTAACTAAAAGGAAGGGGGCCAGGGGATTGGAAAGGAAGAAAGAAACAGAGAAAACAACAAGCAGATGAGAAAACACTGCTGGTGAGGAAATTCTAATAGAAATTGGGTGATTTTGAGTGAAATCTGGCAGTCTCTGGCACATATGAATACATTCATTGTTGCTAGTTTTGATTAATGACAGTTGTACAATAGTGTGCTGACAGTCACTGCCATACAGTCACTTTTTTTTTTTTTTTATATGAAACACTGCTGAAAATGCAACCCAATCAGATTTGGCCCCTGAACAACATGTGCTATCATCACTGTACCGTGAATTGAGATTGATTGGTAACCAGCTGTGACAAAGTGGGAAAAAGAGCCTTGTCTTTTTCAAGAAAAGAAAAGAAAAAAAATAATTAAAAAACCCTGATTTGTGTCAAAACCATTACCATCTGCTCAACCAAATAACAAATAAAACAAAACACATTAACTGTTTTTAACTATCACAAATTAAAATACTGAGGTTGGATTCATGCACTGGCTTAAGGACCTAAGAATAATCTTGAATTACACTGGTTTTGTTGCAGTTTGCAGGGTTTCTTTTTTACATATTCAAAAGTGTATTTGTCCCTATTCAGCCACCAATCTTCCATGGCCATCTAATAAAAGAGAGCGAGAGAGAGATAAAGAGAATTCAGTGAAGTTAAAGAGATTTAACAGTATGCTTTTTGCATTTGATATACATTCTACTGAGTGCTTCATAGAACCCACAAATTTCCAGATTTTAACAATTGTGCAGGCAGTTATGCATGAAAATATGTGCTTCTTTGTCTTTTGCATGCACAGGTAGCACAGCTGTGTGTGCAGATGGAGTCATTACATTCCTAGATATCCAGCTAGTGTTACACTTTCTTCAGCTGTGCATTTTAAAGTTAGGAGATTGTAGTACTATTTTCAATAAATTCAACAAATTCGAATAAAAAAAGAAGATATTCTTCCTGCTGAAGGGAGAATGCAAGAGTCACATGTTAATTGCTATGAACTGATGTTACTGGCCTCAAAAAATTACATCAATTTATATCAGGCACTTATTTTCTTTGTATTTAAGTTTTGTAGGGCTTCCTTTTTTTTTTTTTTCCCCCTTTCATTCTTTTTTCTTTCTTTTTTTTTTTTTTTTTACAGATGGCACAAAAAATTGCAATACATGCATACAAAACTTCAAGATTACTCACAATACTAAAGAGAGACACTACTAGCCCAAAACAGTGAACATGATGGAGTTAAGCAGGCTTAAACTTCCATCTCCACTTCTCCTTTATGGTTCTGGCACTTTGCTTTCCAGCATAGTGCCACAGCTTTTCACTGG